ACCATGTGGGTTTAGCTTGCCATTCTGTGTCCCACGCCAATTGTCTCTCTTAATGTAGTGTCCTCCAGGCCGCCAAGAAGGTGTCCACAGCCTCAGGGTGTCCCATCACACCCACCACCTCCCTTCCCTCCAGCAGGGCCAGTTGCACTCTTATCCCTCCTTGTGGGCAGGGGCAGGGCAGGGACTGCCCTGCTCAAGAGAAGGTTTGTGTGGTTACAGACTTCTCCTAATGAAAAGGGGGGTTTCTAGCAAAGAGAAAGTAACCTCAGCTTTCTCAGGGCCATGAAGCAGTACAGTCCCAGCAGCAGAGCTCTTCACCTCCATGGATCAGCCATGTAGAAAGGAAAGTGGGATCTTGCAAAGGCACTGAATTAATAAAAAAAAAAAAAAAAAGCAAGAACATGCCTCATGATCTGGTGGCACGCAGAAGTAATTTTTTCAGCATCCAGAGATGTATGAGTTAAAAATTCTCTCCCAGCTGACAAGAGCTCAGCTAAACAGATCAAAAAGAAAAAGAAAACCAAAACAACAAGCTCAGAAGTTGCCTCTGCCTTGTACTGGGAGTCAGAAAGTGTCAAAAGATGTGTCATATCTTACAAGGCTAAATGAAAAGTTATAGCTCCTCAGTACATGAAGAAAGAAAAGCTTTATTGAAATAGTTTCTTTGTCGCATTCTATAAAAATATTATGAGGACAGCATGTATAAAACAGAAAAGCAGAGGTTACTGGAAATTCATGTAAAGGCGAGTATCTCTGTTTTATAGCATAACGAGGAAGAAAAATCACTTCCAATGCTAGGGTTTCTAATTATGTGGGATTTTTTATTTTATTTTATTTTGGTTATTGTTTCTAGACTTTTCTTGTAAAATCCTAAGGCACTTACTGAAAGCAGACTTTACCAGAGTATTTGGGTAACTGTCCAGTGTTTCCTAACTCAGACTGACAAATGAGCAAATTCGTTTGCTCTGGAAGCAAGGAAACTAATATTCTCTGGAAATACATTCTCCAAAGTCAAGGACCGTGTTTTCTCCTGGAGGTTTTGACAGAGCATCCAAGAGAGGTGGCTTGCCAGCTTGGCTGCTCCTCCGGAGGCACTGTGCGAGCACCCTCCCATGCCCTGTGATGTGGTTGTGGCTGCAGAGCTACTGGGGTGCTCATCCTTGCTGTGGCTGCCACTGTTGGTCCTGGACCCACTTATCTGTCATGAAAAAGGCTGGAGAAAATGTGTTTGCTCTAGGATTTTCTGTCATTTGGAGGTCCTTGAGACTCCTTCTGCCAGGTACAAAAGGCTGACATTTCAGTACTTCCCGCAGTTTGTCTGTCTTTCCCATTCCCTGTGCTGATTCCTGCTGGATGCCAGGTGTGGATGAAAATGGTCGACTGAGCTGGCAAGTAATCACTTCTGTAAATCCTGGAGATTTTCTTACTCCACTCCTTGCCCTGCTGGAATTACATGGGTAGGGCTGAAGGAGCTGAATGAAACTGCCTTCAGCAACTTTTGGGGGGCAGGCACTGAAATATTCGCTGCTAAGACACAAGTTACAGGTGTAGGCTAGAACACCAACAATGAAAATTTACCTCAGGTTGTTTTGAAACTTAATGAAAAATGGCATGTGCAGTAAATCTAGGAAAGGTAAATGAGATCCATTTCATCCTAAATAGCCCAGATGAGTCCGTACCTTATTTCAACGGGGTCCTGGAGGCTACTGTTGAGGGCAAATTTTGCTGAAGAACCATGATATTCGCCTTGAAAGTCATGGTGAGATAGAAACCACCCAAAGTGAAGGGGTGCACTTGTGAACTTCACAAAGTGAAGGTCCTCTTCTGAGCCTTCTCAGGGCTGCACTGGCCCTGGTAAGAACATCCTTGATCTTTGTGCACGGTGCAGCAGCCTCTCCCTGTACCAGGAGCCCCTGCAGCAAAGCTGAGTCTCAGAGCTGGGTGCATTAGAAGATGCACGGTGTGTCTTAGGAAGGCCCCAAGGCTGCTATTAGAAGGGTATGCAGAACTTGTAAGCTTCAGCAACCTAAATTCAAATTGAATATAAGCACGGTAAGGATTCTAGGGAGGTAGCCAGAACTGGCCAGCTTAGATAGAGGACAGATCATTTTCCTGACGTATGGCTACCAGGTTGAAAATCTCTCAGTTCAGTTAGGGAGAAATACTGCCTTCAGTTGGATAAGATTAACTTTCTTGGGATGAATTCTTTATGGCTTTTCACATGGTTTACTCACAGATACCGGTGCAAATTGGGTGTAAGTCATTTTTGAAATGCGAATGATTTGTCCCAGCCATGTACCAGGAAAATGCCTTGACTTGGAGCAGCCCACTGGAGACCCTGCTACATCCATTTCACTTGGGAGTTGTGACTGCACCTGAGACTTACTGACCCCAGACAGGCTGACACCCCCCTTTTACCCCACTGGCTACTATGCTTTATTACTTTTTGTAGGGAGAGTAAAAAATGGGATAGGTGTCTATAAAACTGTATCCAAAACACGGTGTTTCTCCTCCTTGTCTAAGCACCACAAGCTCTCACTCTTTTCTTCTTCCCAGCCAAGGAAATACTGCCAGAATGCAAAACTGAAACCAGGTATTTCTGCTATTTTTATGCTACAGGTACGTACTCAGGGAATAATTGCTATGTCCCTGTCCCAGTTGAAAACCAAGTAGAAGAAAACCTTAACCATAATACTTGTAAATAACAAGCTCTGATTTCTGTTAACAAAGCTTTTTGCACACACGGTGGAGAAGCAGCAGACTGGGAGTGTTGTTAGCAATATATTGTCTCCTCGCTATTGTTATAGTGGCACATCATCTCCTCATTTTATTTCCTCCATCTGTTTCATGTGGGGTTTGCTGTAATGCTACTTTGAGAATACTGCGATCATTTGTTTGTATTGATATCAGAAACAAATCTAAAATGTTTCTGAAGGCACCATAAGGATGGAGAGTTTGATGGGATTACGGTAAAAGCAAACAAGCTGTGAGCAGAGACAGAGACTGCTGCAAGACACAGAATCCAGGGAAGAAATGAGTTAGAGGTTATTAAGGCAGAAGGAGAAAAAAAGATGTTCTTGTGGCTAAGGCACTGGTCTGATACTAAAGAGATCTGGCCTTTATTCCTGGGTGCATTATTGGATTCCTTTGCAACCTGTGACAAGTCACTTAATCTCTCATTGCCTCAGTTCTTCACCAGTAAAATGGAAGTAAATAAAATTTCTTTACTTCACTGATCTACTTCAGAGATAAATCCATTCAGAAGTTATGAAATGCTCAGCTGTTAGAGTGATGAGCACAGGGGAAAATGAGTAAATCAATGAATTCCAACTCTCTGCCTGCGATGAGTTTAGCGAGTCATTTCTCTGGCCAGTGAACCTAGTATGAAGACAAACACTGGCTTTCCCCTAGTCAGAGAAACATCAGTGACCAGTGTTTTGTGGGGAGCTGTAATGAGGTCTGAGACACTTTTAATGATAATATGTCCGTTAAAAAAAAAAAAAAAAAAAAAGGAAAAAGTAAAAAAAAAAGATGAGAAAGCCTTTTTTCTTATTACATCAAGGAAAAAAAGACCCAAGAGAGGGAATGATAGATGTCCTAACTGCAGAAAATGAAAGCCTGGATAGAGGAAATGTACAGCTTTTCTATCACTGGGAAACTTTTAAAGATTAAAACATGTATGAGCTTGACTTTTTACTGCCATGTACCTTGCACAGTAAATTGCACCCATGAACAGTGAGAATAAAATGCTTCACATTTTGCTGGTTGCACTTTACAGTCCCCTTGCACCTGTATAAACAGCCACACAAGGCAGTAGACATGGAGAGTCCCTTTTTCATACATTTCCAGCATATCCCAACCTGAAGATGTTGCTCTGTTCTTTGGTACAATGTTCGTCACCAAAGCTACGGAGATATGATGTAAATGCTATCAGTGAATCACACCCAGAAAGCTTCCTAATCCCAGATAACTCCTATGAGATGCTGTATGTGTTTGGAACTGATAAGGAAATCTTTTAAATTTTCTATTATCTTTGATTAGATATGGCTTTTGATTTTGATTTAGTGTTAGGCACCTACTGTGAGGAACAAAGGAGGTGTCACAGAGAGCAGGGAGATAATTGTTTTAAAAAGTGAAATCCCTTAGAGAATAAAAAGCAGGTTGTTGAATTTCATCTCATTTTATTGATTATCCTTTCATTACGATTATCCATCTGCAGGAACATATGCTTTCAAAAAAAAAGTTAATCTTATCCGCGAGATGAGTAGCATGCATCTAAATTTTCCATTGTCGCGTATTAGTGACAGGTCTTTAACACAGGCCCTTCTCCAGAATGTGTCAAACCCCAGTGACACTCTTCCTTTAGGATAAGGACAAGCAGTTTCCTTTGAATCAGTGTTCTTCCTTCATGGCTCACATGTGGTTGAAAATTATTTGCAGGCAGATGCTGACAATTTCCTGAAGAAACTTCATGGTTCATTACCTCCCTTTATGATAGCAGCAAAATAAATTGCTGTAAAGTCAGTTAATGTGATAGAAAATGTTCAAATTTCCAATAATAATAATAATAAAATCTCAATCCTGCTTTCTAAACTCCTCCAAAGTGCTTTCCCAATCACCTCCCCTTCTGCATTTACGCACAGATACTGAGTATTACTTTCTGCTAAGTAGAACAAAGGTTGCCTCCGCATTGCAAATAGTGCTGTTTTATGGAAGCTGCTTAGAGAGATTCTTCAGGAAAAACATAACGAGTGAAAGTCAGTGCAGCTGTTACATGAGCAGGGAGAAACAGGGAATGGGGCTTGTTGCTTCTGCTGTGCGTTGCTTGATAGGTCCCTCACGTGTAAGCGTTACAGAGCACCACAGAAAATTGGTCAAATGTGCTCACATATTTCCCTAGAGAGGGGTGGACATATATGATAAGTAGCATGTCACTACCATGCATGCTCTGGTGATCATAAAATGAGTAAAGGCAGTGCAGTGAGCAAGCAAGAGTAGACAATCAGGAATTTCCAAAGCCTGGCATCTTTGCCGTGCTTGATATTAGCCCCGTGCAGAAATAGCCGTGCTGTTTCAGATTTTGCTGAATGGCCCGATGACCAGGTTTTCAAAGAGGCTTTAACTGAGCTGGCTCTTGTGTCCCCTGGGAGATGACAGCATGGGTGCTTTGGGGCTCTCTCCTGCCAATCAGCTGGGAGATTTTCTCTGCGACTAAGCTGGGATTCTGGGACCATGTTGGCACAGCCGCTGGGTATTACCACAGCACATGGCTCTCCAAAGGGCGAGACGAGATGCAACAAGGTGAACAAAAATAGGAAGCTGCAAATGGGGGGCTTACTACAGTGGATTCTCTTGATCAGCCCAGGAGATGCTCTGCAAATAAAAGGTGCTGTCGCCAAATGCGTCCTGCACAGACAGGAAAAGTGCTTGTGAATACCAGTGCTAAAGGACTTGCTCGGAGTGAAACAAATGATATCCCTTTGTTTCAAATGTAAAGCAGCAGATTCCGTAAGTAACAGTGGCTGTGCCCAGGGTGAAGGGGTGGTTAAAGCCTCGGTAACGTATGTGTGCGTGCGTCGATAAAGCATGCAGGTAGCAAATGATAATCTCATAGCAAGCAAATCATTCTCAAGAGGAGATTTGCATCTTAAAAGCGTGCCCTAAGCCAGAAGATAAGTCTTCCAAAGCCTGTATTTACCACATGTAGCACATGTTTAACTCTGGGTGATGTGATTCCTCTTACAGTTGAAGCTAATGCCACAGCTCCAACTTCAGGGGTACGCAGGGATGAGCCGCGTTTAAAAGTGTGTGGCACTGGACAGACTAACCCTTTCCAAAGGGAGAATGAAATAGGGCTTCCAGGGCTGGTGAAACCAGGGGTTGGGTTGTATCCTGTTTCTTATTTTCCCATTAAGCCTGAACAGTCAGTAAAGGAAGAGAATCGAAATGCAGACCTGTAAGTTCATTGCCGAGATGAAAGAAGACACTCAGCGTGAAGGCACAAAGCCACAAGAAAGAAAGGCAGGGAAGTAAAAGAGGGAGCAAAAGGGAAAACTTCAGTAGAAAAATCCAAAGCATCGGAATGGCTGATTTCATCTTCAGAGAGTCGCCCTGAGCATACATTAAACTGGGTTCAGCTGCTCTATGTACCATCAAATATTTCATATTAATAATTAACAAGTCACTGGCTGTCAGAGCAAGATTCAAATGGATGGAAGGGGAGTTTGGGTCACCTTTCCTAGGACTGAGAGTCTTAATGAAGCGATAGCTTTACTGCACTGTTGAGGAATGATGATATACTAGACAGAAGGATTAAGGGATATACATCTTGAAGGCTCCCTCCATGCTCACTCCCCCATAGGAGAGTATTTCATTTCCTCTTTTTTATTCTTCTCCTTGATACACTGCCGTGATGTACACGTGAAGGGCTTGATCTTGCCTGCCCCTCTGCGATGCACCCCAGTGTACATCCCTGCAAAATTAGCTAGTGCATATGCAAACTCAGCTGCAAAGGTGCTATGTATCAGGGACATGACTTCATCCAATGACTGCTATAAATCAGAGCACTCGGTGTGTCTTTGCTGGACACACTCTCATTTATCAAGGTGATTTTTAAACCTGTGCCTAACTCCCATTTGTGAGAAATGGGAATTCACTGAAATCTCTTGCAGTGGCTCATTCTGGCTTTAGATTTTCTTCCTAACACTCCTGCTCACCTTCAAACTTATTTGACCATAAACCTAAATGCTATATGGTATGGAACTTGGTTTACTGCATTCCTGTTGACCACTGATGGGCTGTTTCAGCTCATGCCATTATGTGAAGAGCTCAAAATGGTACTGTCAGACCCCAAGTTTTACTTGCTAGTCCCATGAACAGGAGGACTAAAAGAGTTTGGGGAGGTACCAGACGGCCTGAGCAGACTTGGCTGTGGGATCACGGGTGAGTGAAGCTAAAAAGAAAATCCCTACAGTAAGTGGTGAGCAAGCAGGGTTTAAGAGAGAAACTGAGGAAAAAAACAGTCCCTCCAAGATCAACTGGAAATGTTTATGAAGTCAAGCTGCCATTTGCGTCTCTGGCTTGGGATGAAAAGCAAGCATAAAAGCTGTGCAGAATTACATTTGTTCTAGTCACATAGAAGGACAGACAGACACACTGACAAACTCTGAAAGCGCAGAGAAAAAAGTGGCACATTACAAAGAGCTAATTACAATTTCTTTCCCTTGGAGATTAATCCACTGAGTGTAATTAAGCTCCTTCTATTTTTTGAGATCTTGGCAAGATCTAAGAAAAGAGTGAGCAAGCGAGACTGCCCTTGCTAGCCAAGCAGATTTTTTTACTAAGCTCTATCAGCCCTAATTAATAGACCTTTGTGTAAGACCAACAAGAAATCAGATTTCCAATGGCGCTGAATCAAATGGCCTTGGCTACCTCTGCACACACGCTCGTTCGGAGCCAGGCCACAGCCAGGATTTACACATGCTGGGGATGAAAGGGAGGCGCAGGGGGGGGCAGGATGAACAAGCTTTCCTCCCCTAACTCCTGCTTCTCCTTTTCTGCTGCTTTGTTCTGTCTGTAATCCTACCAGATGGCTGAGGCAGCCTAGAGAAGAGATTGCCTGAAACAGGCAGGTGATGAGGCCAGCAGCAGGGACTCCGGCAGCGATTGAAGAAACTGATACAGCTCTCTAACCCTTGCTGCTAGCAAAGTGCTTTGTTATTCTTCTTTTGCTTGTGGCTACCTTGCATTTTGTGCTTTTCTGATGGCCAAGAAGGATGCTATCAGCCAGATCCTCAGCAGGCACAAGTGAGGATAGTGTTGCTAGCATCTCTAGTGTTGTTGATCTGCACTAGCTGTGGATTCTGCCCTTCATTTCTGCACACCCCAGCTCTGCTCTCCTCCTTATGGCTTCTCCTGTGAGCATGTGGGCATGCTCTGCTCAGCGCAAGGAGGACCTAGCCCTTTCCCACAGCTGTACCTGGCAGACAACATGTTTTTCTTTCCACCCACATCAGGGTAATGCTAGGGGCAAACAATGGTGCAACAGAGACAAATTCAGGTCACAGAGAGCGTTCAGAGATCCCCAGAAATCTCTAGAGAGAATAAATATCAACTATGCCAACATCACCCTCAAGAGCAGACTTGACTGCTTTCCATACTGCAAGTAAATGCAGCCCCTGCCTCTCTGCAACAGCAGCTGCAGGGACCACACTTGCCTGAGCTTGCTTCGTAGGTTAGGATGCTCCCAGGTGCATGCAAACAGGCCAAGGGCAAGCTATTTGCCAGGCAGCTGTATGGACTGAAAGTGGGTGGGATGTGGGGCAAGAAACGTTCATGGCCACTCTGGGGCTAGTTTTCAAGCCACAAGGTCCGTTCTTGTTCAGTGGTCCTTGGTAATCCAGATCAAAGAGGTGGCACTGCCAGGAAGGGTTGAAGAAGCTCATCCCCTGGTTCATTGCAGCTCCCAGCAAGTCTGTGTGAAGTTAGCCCTTTAAGAAAAAAATCTGTCAGGTATTTAATTCCACGCAATATATAATATGACCCTACTCTCATAAAAGTCAATAACAAAAATCCTGTTGAATTGAATGGGAGCAGAGCTGGGTCTTATTACTGCACTGATGAAACCATAATGGTAGAACAATGCTCACAACAGTTTCTAATTATTGTACAGTGTGACGCTCCTGACAAAGACCCAGCTTTGTCAATTCTCTAATAATATCTGAGTTTGTGGATTGTAACAACATAAATTAGAGTATATTTTAAGTCCTAGCATTCACCCACAATCATCTAAACAACAATAGAAAGCTTGTCTTTGTAGTTAAAAAAATAAACTGAAAGCCACAGAACAAAAGATGAAATACCATGAGAATAAGGTAGGCATATTTTTTGTAGCTAAGCTTATATGCAGTATAAATATCTTTTGTCAGATTTCTTTCTTTCTTTTTCTGTCTCTCTCTCTCTTTTTTTTTTTCCTTTCTTCTTTCCTGGACAGTTAAGCACTGAATAAAAACATAGAAAAAATATTCCAGTATTTTTTCCCTTAATCCTTATTATAATTATCTGCTGATTATAATTTAATCCTTTTTAAAACTTTGTTGGACTAGGACCTTAACAGTATCAATTTCTCACTGTATCCATATCATTGTCAAACACTGTTAAGACGTTTTGTGTATCTTTTAGAAGTGGAAGCACTTGTCCTAGAAAAGTAGAGCTCTTTAGTTAGTTTTATTATTTGAATTGATAACTCTTGAAAAAGGATAACGTTTGCACACAGGCATCTCATACAGGAGATTTTTTTTTTCTGGAAGTTTGAGAGCTCTCATCAAGAAATGCAGCAGTTGGGATGGGAAGAGCCTTACCAGTTACCTTGACCTGTACCACACGCCGTATTTGCTTCTTAGCTGAAGGAAAGTGCAGAGAGTCTCCATGAGGCAGGAGCACCAGAATTCTTACCAAAGGTAGTCAAATGTCTTAAGCGAAAGCTGAATGTCTTCTAAAAGACCACAAATAAAAAAGCTCTTGTGAAAGATTTCCTTAATTTGCCAGCATTATGGCCAATCTTTTGAGCTTTGGCAGTGGAGTTAAGTTGCTGAGGGAACATGAGAAACAAAGGAAGAGGCTGGCAATTTGTCATGACCAGAAGTAGAAGAACCGGAGTGTTATCTTCACATCTGGAGGTATCAAATCACCACCAGGTGCTGAATCAGACATCTGAAGTAAGGAACCTGCAAGAACCAACTGGAAGAGAAGACGCACAGGTGGCAGAGTAGGAAACTGAGAAATGCAGCTCGTCTAAAACCAGGCAAACCTCAGAAAAGCCCATAAGGGCCTCCCAGCTGGTCCAAATCAAGACAGACGATGCAGATGGTCCTCTCTGCAATGCCAACCAGGAAGGGCCTGCAATGCATCAGGCTCTTGGAGGCACCGGTGGATCCTATAGCAGTTCTCTGCTTTCCAGAAGCAGGGCTGAAGGGCATCGAAAATAAGGACGCTCATGTGCAGGAGCCCAGACTGGTGTATTTGGTGGAGATCTACGCTGATGACATCAGTTTCACCCGAGGCACTGTACATTAAGAGCATTGCTACTTTCTAGGCAGTTATAGATCATTACCAGGCTCTCTGAAAGGTTATAGGTTACACTTTCAAGTGGTGCCTTAAAGAGGTGTTGGTGTTGGCAAGCATTTGTTAAAGTGCATCTTATCTTACTTGCCCTTAATCTTCCTATACAATGTGCTGTAAAACTCTATTATCATGTACACCTTTCTCTTGGGATGCACTGGCTAGACTTCTCTGGCCAATGGCAACATTTCCTGAGTTTCCAGAAATGACGGATGATTTCTTAATGCAGAAGTGCTGTGGCTTTACTGCAGTCACAAAAGCAGATTAAATTAGTATTGACCTCCATGCTGCAGTAGCTGTGTGGGTATCAGTAGAACATATGACAACTCCGCATACTGGTTCGCATTCTGCTTGTCAAAGATGAGATCATCACTGACCTAAAAATTGGCAGCTGCCCCTACACCAGGGAAATCAGCCTAGTTTCACTGACCTTGTGAAGAAAGTACCAACATCTATCGTGTGCATTTGGAACTTCAAAAGGGAGAATTTTCCAAAACCTCAATCTTTTTGCTGACATAACTGATTTGTAATGTGGGAAGCATTACATCAAACTGAGAACTGTTCAATGCTATCCTACCGGTGTGCCTCAGCCTGGCTTCTGCAGTCACATGGAAAAGTTGAGCTGCTGGAAAAATTTCCAGGCTAAAAGAATGGAAGGGTAGTGAAGCTAACAACTGTAAATAATGTACAGGGATGTGGAGAGCTAAAGAGAAATCATTCACACAGCTTTGGATTTAACAGCTAAAGGCAGTAAGAAGGTATTTTTGTCATAGCAGAAATCTAAAAGTCCTTGGTCAGGTAAGGGCCCACTGCTGTTTTCAGAAGGTAAATGTGTAAATAGGATCTAGAAAAGGCAGCCATTTTCAGGAATTTCTGTGCTGTTGGTGGAGTGGAGCAGGAGGATACAGCTAGCTTAGATGAAGTTATAACCAGAAGCAGAAACCCCTCATGTACAGAAAAATGTGCACAATGCAGCATCTGCAACAGATCAGAAATTTCAAATGAACCTATTCAGATTACTCATAGCCAAGAGGCTGAAAGGAGAGAGTCAGGGTGCTCAGATCTTTAACAATCTTGGATACTTAGTCAAAGAGTGAACGGTGTAATTCAGGGAAGTATAAGACCCTGGTGGAGATCTTGGTCAATGGTAGAACATTAAATTCAGGACTCAATGAAGATTAAACTAAGCTCTAGCTACAGCTAAAATTATAAGAAATGTCAGTCAGCATGGTTTCAAGGATGGTACATCCCATCGCACAACCCTGTTGCCTTTTTTTGACAGGATTACTTGCTTGCGGGTCTGCAGCGATATATGCACTTACGCTTCTCAAAGCCATTTGACTTAATACCACATTACCTTTTGATTGAAAAATTTGCACAGAATGAGGAACACTCTTTGAAAGTGGTACTGAACAGAAGGACACAGGGGTCATTGCAAATAATTACCCAACCACAAGCACTTAATGCAATGCTGTGGGAAAAACTGGCCAATGCAACACATAGAAGAATAATAAGGGAATATGAAGTAAAAGAAGGAAAGTGATTTTGAATTAATGACTGCTATTATGATACTTTGTCCACTTCTCACTTTCATGCTTCAAGAAAGATGTGAAATACTGCAGAGAACTCAAAGGAGAGCTACAAAAATGACCCAAGGGCTGCAAAGCAAACCCCAAAGAGAAGGTTTACACAGGCTGAGAGGTGACCTGATCTGTGTTTATAGATATTCACCTAGAAGAAGGGTATCTGGGGCAATGATTTAATGTCATGTATAAGAAAGTAACAAGATCTTATATCTATTAGCTCAAGCTAAGTGAATTCAACTTTGAAAGAAAACCAGCTTCCTAGCAGTGCTGGTAAATGAGTATTCAAATAGTTTACTTTGTTCTGGTGGACTTGACATTGCTTCATGTCTTTAGGATGAAATCTGTTGCCTTTCTGAGTGATATGCCTTTATCCCACTACTGTCAGAAAGCCAATGGAGATATGACCACTTCTGGCTTTAGGAATGAGGATCCCGAGGCCCACCTTTTACAAAGCCCTTCATGGACCAGTGGCAGAAATGCAGAACTGCCCACCTTGCCCTTAGGTGCTTACCTGTTTGCAGGTCCCTGAGATAGCTAAATTATCGACACCAAATTTTAGAAAAGAAAAGGCAAGTATTAGAAACTTGAATTACTACACACAAGTATCATAGAATCATAGAATTATTCAGGTTGGAAAGGACCTCTAAGATCATCTAGTCCAACCTTTAACTTAGTACTAAGATCCATCACTAAACCATGCTACTAAAGTTCCAAATCTACACATTTCTTGAATACCTCCAGGAATGGTGACTCAACCACTTTCCTGGACAACCTATTCCAAGGCCGCACAGCCCTTTCAGTAAGGAAATTTCTCCTAATATCCAACCTAAACGTCCCCTGACGCAACTTGAGGCCATTTCCCCTTGTCTTATCACTGGGTGCTTAGGAGAAGAGCCAAATCCCCACCCCGCTACAACCTCCTTTAAGGTAATTGTAGAGTGGGATAATGTCTCCCCTGAGCCTCCTTTTCTCCAGGCTAAACAACCCCCAATTCCTTCAGCCGCTCCTTGTAAGACTTATTTTCTAGACAATTCATCATGGTATAATAATTAAAAAAGCATTAAAATAGGCATTAAAATTAACAGTAACACTCTTTTTGCTCAGTAACCAACTTCAGAATTGGTCACCTCTTTGAACAATTCACATAAAACATTTTTTTCCTTTGTTCAAAGTATGTGTGTGTTTTGATCATAGGTGCGCATATAGATGAGGTCAAGAGAGGACCTAAAATTGCTATCAGCCGTATAGGCTATTAGACATATCCACAGTTGGATCTGCTTTGTTTGTCAGCAGTACCTATATACGTAAATGCACAAAGACATTTTTTTCTATCAGGATCATAAATTTATATTAGAGTACTTTTATTATAGTCTGTTTTTCTTGGCTTGAAAATATCAAGAGTATAATTTAACCCTCCCCACTTGCTACCTCTCTTTTTCTGTTCTTCCCCTGAAGAAAAGGAGCTTGCAGTAGGTGGTGGGCAGAAGATGCCTCAAGGAAAACACAGTTCCCCATAAATAGGAAATGAAACAGAAAGCTGCAATCATGAAAGAAGGGGCTATGAAAGACTTTAATAACATTCTTCAAAAGGTGTCTTGTGAGTGTTCACCACCATTTAATCCTCAAACGATTAAGTGTTCCTGAAACATACATATTCTAAAGGGAAAAAAATATCATTCTTCTCTAGTGTTTCTAAGCCCCATCATTTTTCAGCAGTACATTGTCTTGTACAGCAAGTATATGAAAAAGGGAGATTAGTCCTATTGCCTTGCTAAAGCAGGTACGGCTGGGTTTTGGTGCGGTTTGCCACTGTCCCGTGCTGCTGGCGGGTGGTGGCTGCTAGTGCTGCCTTTCTGGAGGCGGCCAACACAGCTCTTGGGCACCAGCTGCTCCTCTCCGAAGGGCTGGCTGGGAGACTTCTTTCCCTTCAGCTGCTGTTGCATGGCAAATATTGCAGGTCTGGCTGTTTTACAACTTGCTGGTAAAGTGGCACATCCGCACTTTGCCTCTAGATATGACCGGACTTGCTGAGTAAAGGCTTGCTGTCTGAAAAATTACCTTCTAACCCTGAGCTTGCTGCTTCCCCAAGGACAGCACACACTGGCTTTGAGCTGAGGGAGGGCAGTGGACCTTTCCCAGCCCCATAACAACCAGGGTTTTGCATTGGGAATCACCTTGAGAAATGGACACTGCAGCTCTGCTGCACTGGACACTGCAGGACAGAAAAACGCAGCAGGGGAGGCGTACAGTGAGATATCTGACTGCAGAAAGCCACTCTGAAGTGCAGGAAGCAAGCATGTACTGGTCAAGGAATTAGATTACTTAAGGCGGTGACTCACCCAATAACTATTCAGCGTTTGCGGTTAAAAGAGAAACCTTTGCCAGAGAATGACTAAAATCCATTGGCACGGGCTTTAAAGGAATCATGACTGGGCCTAAACGGCTGCATACGCAAATGAATTATTTTTCCGCCCTTTTCCACTGAAGTGACAATAAAGAAAATACACCGTCCCTGTGTGCGCGGGTAATGCTGGGCTGGAGCAGCCCCGGGACCCTTCCAGCAGCTGCTCTCCATGGGGCCAGGCCCAGGCCTACGTTTCCCTGTCCAGGCCGGGCTGGGACTTTGTGGTGTTTTAAAGGCTCGGGCTGGCAGTGTGCAGCTAGCTCCAGGGCACTCATTCCTGCTTGGTTGAAGGGTGGGTAGGAGGAGAAAGAGTGAATTCCAGGATCTGGCAGTTTGGCCCCAGAAATGAAGCAAACAAACAGAGTGACTTGGCTTGTGTGGGTTTGCGCTGGGCTGGACGTAGGCTCCTGCGCTGCTGGGTCTGACAGTGGCTGTCACTCAGCAGCTGGCAGGATCACAGGACCACAAAATCATCTAGGCTGGAAAAGACCTTCAGGATCACCAAATCCAACCGTCAGCCTGACCTGCAGAGTCCCATCACTAAACCATGCCCCTTAGTGCCATGTCCGCACATCTCTTAAATACCTCCAGGGACGGTGACTCCACCACTGTCCTGAGCAGCCCGTTACAATGCTTGACCACTCTCTCTGTAAGAAATTCCTCCTAATATCCAGCCTGGCACAACTTGAGAA